AGAGAGGGAAACCCCAGAGTGTTGCTACTTTAGTACACACAAGATTCAAATACACTAGAGCATTAACAGGTTGTCTCAATGTGGTGAAACTAAAGATGACTTTTTTAAAGTTTTAGCATATATTACCTTATAATAGATCTATGAAACTTGTGGTGGCTACAGTTGGTTGTTACTAGGCCTGGGGTCAGCAGCACCCTCCTCCACTTTGTTTTTCACAATAACAGCCACCACAAAAACACTACAGCTTGGTGGTGCTTGTTTTTAGTAGTGAATTATCTCCTAGGAACTGTTTAAGGACACAGAAAATCCTCAGCTACTTACAGGGCCAATTTGAGTTCTCAAACTTTAACCCAAGCATATGAACCCTCTTTACTTCTTTTTGGCAAACTTTATTGTGTCCCAAATGCTCTGCAGAAGTGTGGTGTATACAGAGAGTGCTTTCCTCCTCTGAATTCTGCTATCAGCACCCAGTCCAGAGCTGAAAAGAGAGTGGACGTTCAGTGTTTTGACTTTATTTGAATTGAGTCTTTTAGAGAAAAGTCTAGATGATTAGGGAGATTTAGACTGATGAAAGAGGCCTCCCTGAGCTAGGCAGGATCCTCTGCCTCCTTTCCCAAATTCAGGCTTTACATAGTTTTCTCCAGCTTTTCTATTCTTCTTCCCCTCTTTGTAAGGGCCACTAACAACATTTGGAAAGACTGCCTCCCTTATGTTTCCATGATTCTCCTCCAGATCTCCCCCAGAGACCTTACCCCTGTGGGAGGTCTTTGTCCTTTCCTATAAGTGGGACTACTAAGACTCTTAATACGTCCAAAAGGGATACAAGTCCTGGCCAATTACCTAGCACTGCAGGCAGCTCCTGGAGAAGTCCTGGAGAAGGGGAAATAAAAGTGGGAGCTGCCTAACAATTGGACTCAGGAAATAGGACTCAGGACTTCAGGTCATACCACAGAGTAAGAGCTGTCATTGTCCAAATGATTCTCATGTTGAGTTGTGGAGTCAAAGACAGATGGGAATGCCATAGAGGCTGAATGAACAGCCATCTGCAGGAAAGTAGAGAGGTCTAACCAATGCCTAGAGTGCTACTGTATATTCTTGGACAGGAGATTAAGATTCTGCCCAGCCATGGACATTGGACATAAAGGCATTGTATATCCCTCTAAAATATGATATCTAAACATGCTTATCCCCATCCACTGCCAAAGATGTTTTGGGTATAGGCTGAACCCTGAACAGGTGGACCAGAGCCGCAGGTATTTTCAGAGCTTACCTCTGGACAAATTGTGACAGAAACAGAGTTGGTCTTTGATACCATATCACGCTGCACTCATCTGTTAGAGAGTGGTCTGAGCTCCTGATCTTACCTGCTTTCCTGTTTCTTAATCAGCACTATCTGTCTTCCTGGCCCTGTTTCTGCTCTAGGTCTGTCCTGCTTCCTTCTTGTGCCCAGGGGAACTGAACAGGCTATACACATGACTCTATTCTAGAAGTAGCCTTTCAGCATTTCACAACTCAGCACTGCCTCCGCCAACTCCCTCCTAAAACTAGAGGAAAATTCATGTGTGTTCAGCAAAGAAAGGTTAGAAAATGTTTATACAAGCACTCTGCCTCTTCATACCTCATTCTAAATCCATTTCAATTTCCATCCTCCTGAGAGTTATGCTTGGAAGCTAGGACAGTGGTTGCCTTTCCTGTGGGAAAGCTAAAATTGAATCATGTCTCTACCCTAAATCATCCATGCTCACTCCACAAGACAAAGGCACAATTGTTCAGCACCACGGAGAGCACCTTTGTCCTGGCGTCAACATCAAGGGTGGGTGAAAGATGAGAATTTGTAGCTGGGAGCCCAGCTAGTCTGATCTCCTTCCACTCCTGGCCAGCCACCAAGTATCCCTCTTTTTCCATCCCTGTAGTATTCAACTCCTTCCTTTACCTAACTAGGCTTTTAGGAATGAACTTCCTCAACTTTCTACCCATCTTTCTGCCTCCATGTTATCTGCATCTCCCACCCATCTTCACCTCCCTTCCATTTCAGTAAGGAGCCTTCCTCCTCTGGTCCAAGGTTCTGGTTCCATCTCCTCTTGACTCCTCAAAGACTATTTCTCATCAAACATCTTTTCTACCCAGCTTCCTTCCCCTCAGTCCAGCACAGTGGTGTTCCTTAGCTCCAAAGAAATCCTTCAACTCCAGAGCCTCTTCTGGCCATTATTCATTCTCATTTCTTCACTTCTCAGTCTGGCTCCTTGAAAGAATAGCCTGTGTTCCATTTCTACTCCTTTATCTCCTATTTCCTCCTAAATCCCCTGTTATCTGGACTCTGTTCCTACCCTTCAATTAAAACTGTGCTTGCTGAGGTCATCTATGACTTTCTCACTTCTAAATATTGTCTTTATCTTATGGATCCATCTGTTTGACACTATCAATTTCTTCTATCTTAGAACTCCACTTAAGTGTCTTCCTAGATATTTTCCTACATCTCATCTTTCTGCTTCTACTCATTCTTCCACTCATTCCCTAAAGTGGATATGCCCCAGAGTCCCATCCTTGATTCTTGTCTTTTATCACTCTCCTCAATCTCTCTGAGATGGCCTATTCCCCTTTGTGGCTTCCATCACCACCAGCCTATACCTCTTTCCTGAGATCCCAAACGGCAAATGCTACTGACTAATGATATAATCCAATGTCCAAGAGATACTTTTTTTAAAATCCTCGCCTGAGGATATAGGTTTTTTTTAAAATTAATTTGAGCCCGGCCAGGCGTGGCTCAGCGGTTGAGCATCGACCTAAGATCCAGGCGATCAGGGTTCGATTCCTGGTCAGGGCACATGCCCGGGTTGCGGGCTCAATCAATGACTCATCATTGATGTTTCTATCTCTCTCTCTCCCTCTCCTTTCCTCTCTCTGAAATCAATAAAGATATATTTTTAAAAAAAAAAAAAATTAATTTGAGAGAGAGAGAGAATTTAAAACTCAGCATGTCCCAAACTGAACTCATCTGATTTTTCCTGGTAGAGTAGCTGTGCCTCCTCCTTCATTGTCTGTCTTGCTAATTAGTACCCCTTACCCAATTACTCCAGGCAGAAAACGGAATGTCTGGACTCCTTCTACATTTTATCTCAAAAGTCTGCCAATTTTATGCTCTTTAACATCCTCCTTTCTGTCCTTTTATCTTCTGCTTCTGCTTAGTGCAAGTCCCTGCCATCTTTTGTTGACACTGTTGCAATAGTTTCCTGATTACCCTTACCTCCAGTCTCATTCCCCTGCCATCCATCTTCTACGTGGCTATCAGAAGGTCCTTCTACATCTCAAATCTGATCATGTTACTCTCCTGCTTAAGACTCCATTGGTTCTCCATATCTTCTGAGTAAAAAACAAAACCAAGGCCTATCTTCCACTACCATCTGAGCCCTCCTGGCCTCATGACTTTATTTCCTGCCACTTTTTATCATATCTTCTAGGTTTCAACTAAAACAAAATACTGACTTTTCCGTGAATATGTAATGGTAGTTTTATGCTTCTGAGCCTTTGCAGATGTTTCCTGAATGTCCTTTCTCCTTTATCTTAAGCTAACTGGTGAACTAATGTTTTGAGATCTTTTAAAGTGGCTTCCTCTGTGAAGTTTTCCCTGATCACCCTCCCTTTGTCACTTTCCTTCTACTTTTCTATGGCTCTTGTTACCTTTATTGATGATTAATGGGAGCTCCTTAAGGGTGGACCTATATTCTATTTATCTTTATGAGCCCTAGGCATGTCAGTATCAAATAAGTGAGGGGAAATTGCAGCATAGTGGAGTAGGGAGAGAAGAGGAGTCAGAATGCCCTGTTGGTCAGGCCCCTGCTCACCCTGTGGAGAGAACATCTTTTCCACAGATATTTCCCCACATAAGCTAGGCACCAACCTGTGTGGTGCCAGGGCTGCAGCTGTGGGCCAGTCACTCCCAGGGCACACTATCCACGATTATGTGGGTTAGGACAGATAGAGTGCTCAGCGTGTACTATACTGAATACTATTCTAAGTGCTTGCATTTATTAACTAATTTTAGCCTCACAAGAACCTTTGTCATAGGTATTAGTATTAGTCCCATTTTAAAGATGTGGAAACTTAAGCCCAGATCACACAGCTAGTAAATGGAGGAGCTGGGATTTATAAAAAGAATGGGTTGATAAGTTGATATTTGTTGAAGCTGGAGATAATTACCCAGAATCTCACTATATTGTTTTCTCCACTTTTGTGTAAGTTTAATAATTTCTATAATAAAACATTTTTTAAAGACCAGATTGGATTAAATCAATGGATTTTAACCTTTTTTAAAAGCAACAGAACACTTTCTCCAACCAAAATCCTGTGGAAAGGCTGATATGTAAATGAAATAAAAGTAGATCTACTCTGGTTTAAGAGAAGCCAGACCCCCTCCCATTGGTCCCTTCTTGCACTCAGCCCCTCCTGAGAACACAGGGTTAGGGAACACAGTTTAATGAAAATCGCTGGACTAGACAAAGTCTAAAGATTCTTCTTGCACTTTTGCCTTCCTCTAGTTATATTGGCTCTGCACTGGCCATTAGCCTATATATCCTGTCCCAGAAACAGTAAGACAGGGCTATTAATCATTTCTGTAGTCGGTAGAGAATTTGAAGGGTTGCAGAAACATGGGTTGCTATTAGAGATAAATTTCAATGTCTGTCTCTGCTGAGTGTTTATTAATAATCTTGCTAATCCCCGCTCTAGTTCCCGGATCTAACTCCTGTCAGATGTCCTTGGGGGCATTTTAAATTCTCCCTGATTTCTTGGAGCCAGATGCTTCCTTCTGCCTGGATTCGTCTCTGATACTTATATTCATGAATATTTCACATTTAATCTCCCTGATTACATTTCCATGTGATGATCGTAGTGTATTGGCTGCATTTCTCAGGAAGGACATACAGGAAGCCCACAGTAAAGGCTTGAGTTTGCAGGCACAGTGCCAGAGATCTTTGTTCTTGCCACTAAGATGGGCTTCTATCATGGACAGTGACAGGAAGATGCTGAATGGTGGGCTTTGCATGTGACCTCTTGGTCTAGGACTTTGCACCCTGGCTCATGACCTGAAAGGACTGGCAGTTTCACTCAGGGATCAAATGGCACCAGGACCTGCCCAGTGGCCTTGAGGACCACATGTAGGTCCCTGTGACCAGAGTTGCTCAACAGCTTCCCAGCCCCCAGTCAGGCCCTATCCTTCCTGCAATGTTATCATTGCTGCCAAGTACCTTCTGTCTGAGTGAAAAAACTGATGAACTCATCTGTACTGGGGAGGAAAAAGTTAGCCCCAAATGCCTGAGAGCTTGTGTTTTAAAAGTCAGCCCAGGGAAAGGACTGTGAGGCTTAACACTGGGATGGATGGGGTGGAGGGTTTGGAGAAGATGCATGATTGAAAGGCACCAGTGTAAACATGTTAATGCAAACTCTAGGAGATATCAGGGTTCCCCAAAGAGAGAGAGGAGGGCTGAGGTCAGGACCCTGCAGAGTAAACAAAGGGCTGTGGAATGAGATAGAAATGAGTGTCCTAAAAGCCAGTGAAGGGAACCATTCCCAAATGGATGTGGTATGTATGACATGTGACAAATGCTACAGAATAAGTAATGTGACTAAGGAAATTAGAAATGTGCCAATGCTCCCCTGGTAGGGTCCCACAGGGACCTTTATGGGCTTTACCCTTTGAGAATCTCCCTTCAGGTTGCTTTTGGAGTGAGCCCTCCCTGTGGTGTAAGGAGAGCCCAGCTGTCAGGTCTCCATGTCTCCTACAGATAGCACCTGCAAGGCTGTTTTGGCTGCAGAGAGGCATGTAAGGGCCACTAGAGGCCTGCTTCTCCAAGGCTTCAGGGAACAAGTGCTGTCGGTAAGAAGTCTCCCAAGGAGGAGCTGAGCCAGGGAGGCAAAGGATGAAGGACTGGAAAGGTGTGTTGCATGGGAAGTTTCCTGAGATATAGCCACTGCAGCAGCCAACCTTTTCTGAGCAGAGCCTCCTGCCCTCTCCTCCTCAATCATAGCTAAGGGTTGGGGGTCAGAGCAGAGACAGAAGCCCAGGTTCTGCCTCAGGAACTTGCAAACCACTGTAGCAACACAGCCCACCCAGGGCCTTGTACTCTAGGTGGCTTAAAGGAACACAGATAAGGTCAGGATTTCCCTCCCAAATATTCTAGACTTTTCCCTCTCCCCTTAGTGACAAGCATGTTTTCATTTCTACTGCCTCATTCTAAAGGGAACAGAAGCCACCATAATGGGTATATATCCTTCCCTTGCTGAGTCACCAGCAGCCACTCAGATCTCTGGGCCTGTCAGTGAGGGTCCATTACTGGAGCATTCTACCTACCTATCTGTCTGCTCTCTGCAGCTTTAGAGGCAGAACAGGCACTGCCTTGGATCCACTCTGCAGTCCTCAGACTCTGTAGTCTTAGACAGACACCTTGGATGGCAGCACTCATATCAATGAGTCATCAGTTTCTCATGGAGAATGCAAATGACTCCAGCCCCTTCCAACTGACTGAGGCAGGTTGGGCCAGGGCCCTGGATCTTGTAGCAGAGGTTTGTGGTGTTTTGGAGGGAAGAGTGGGGCTAGATTAATGAGCGAGCAGCACAGGACTAACTGACTGTCAGCTGATTTGTCGGTATTTGTCTTCTCATCTACCATACCCAGCCAACCTTTCAGGCTTTCCCAGAAGACATATTTAGGGCTCATCTGTGAAATAGAGAAGTCTTCATGAGAACTCTTTTTTGTTCAGTGGCTGCAGCCTTGAAGTGTGGCCTGGCTTGGCCAGTCAGTTCTCTGGGTCCTGTGAAGGGACTTGTCCAGTGCTAGGAGAAATGGAGGGAGAAGGTCTGTCTTAGGGGGCACCTACTCTGACCTTAATGCAGATTTAAACTCACAAACCTAGAAAGATCTTTCCAAACAAGTACATGGGAAGGGCCCTGAGGAGTAGGCAACTGGTATTGGAGGTTGGAGAAGGAGGTCCTGTGGGCTTAAAGAATTGCAGTGGGCTTTCTAGGGAGGCTGGATTACAGAGGACATTGCAGATAGACACCCAGGTGAGTGTAAGTGAGGCCGAGATCCTTGACTCTTCTATCCAGTTCAGGGTCTTCCTCTCAAGGTAAATGGGTCTGCCTCTCCCTCCCTGAATCTCCTGACTGCTGCCAGGAGCAAATGCCCTCAGAGACCCAGGGGACAGATGGGAAGGCCAGCTTCAGGGCTCAGAGCAGCCCCTGTGTTCACTTCCTAACAACTCCCTGTCTTTCTACTTTCTCCCTGCCAGGACCCAACTGCCACCTCCATCTCAGACGGAGACTGTGATGCCCGGGAGGGTGAGTCAGTAGCCATGAATTACAAACCATCCCCGCTCCAAGTGAAGCTGGGTGAGTGGGTCCGGGGGAGGTAAGAGAGAGGTGGGGAGTGGACAAGGTACTCTGGGGCTGGGTCTGCAATGAGGTGCCACAAATAAACCAACTCAGGCTAAATGATTCCAAGACTCAAGCCACCAAGTCATTGGCACTGCCAGGTACCTTATTTCCTGCAAGGCAAAGAGGGAAGTTACAGTTCTCTGCAGGACTGAAAACTCTAGGAGGCATCTCTGAGGCCAAGATGGCTCCACTTATTCCAGGGGATAGTTGCAGGGATAAAAGCATGGAACCCCAGAAAGAGGATTGGAAGTCCCATTCAATACTGAACCAGTATGGGGAGAAGCTGTCTTAGAGGTGGGTGTCAGTTGCTATATCTGAGAGGTAGAAAGAATGAGGATTCCAAAGCCTAGAAGCTGAGCCCCATTCCTTCCTCATCCCATCTGGAGATCTCGGCCTGGTGGGCTCCTGGTTGGGGAGTTTTTCTTGGTTTTTGGTTTTTGGGGTTTTTTTTAGTAAACTTAAATATCTCTCTCCCTTTCCAGGGTGACCTTTCCCTTGGGGTTTTTCTCATGTCCACTCTGGTCCGTGTATGCTACGGCCTGCTCTTTGAAATCACTTGGCTCCCAGCCACTGCCCATAGCTCCTTCAGCTGCTATTCTCACTTCACCCTAGGCCAAACACTGCTCCTCTCCCTTCAGGAACCAAAGTTTTGTTCACCTAAGGCTGCTTCATATAGTAGACTTTTACTAAAAATTTGGTTTTATGAAGAGAAATTACAACACAGTACATCCAGGAAAGAGTTTACAATTAGATACAGGCCATCACTATCCTGTAAAACCCCTCTGCCATCCATTTCTCCTCAGGCTCCAGCTACCCACCAAATAGTGGACCCCTCAGCAGCCATAAGAGCCCTTACCCATCTATTCTAAACCTTCTCCCACTGCAGCTGCCAGGACTCCTTTTCACAGAGTTCTGTTCTTTTATTTTAAAAAATAATTTTTTTTAACCTTGCTTTTCTCCTTCCAGACCACAGCTAGAGAACCCCTCAGGCTGTTTTTCTAAACAAGAGAACAGCTCTCTTAGTGGAATCTGTTCCTCTTCCAAAGATACCAGACTCAAAGTACAGCAAGTTTTGTATATTATTGTTTAATTTAACAATACAAGTGTTGCCCAGCCGGGTGTGGCTCAGCGGTTGAGCATCGACCTAGGATCCAGGAGATCAGGGTTCGATTCCCGGTCGGGGCACATGCCCGGGTTGCAGGCTTCAGCCGATCAATGACTCTCTCATCTTTCTATCTCCCCTCTCCCTCTCCCTTCCTCTCTCTGAAATTAATAAAGATACATTTTTTAAAAAAAACAATACAAGTGTTTTAACAAGTATAACTTCTTTTACTCTCCCCATCACATTCTCCTCCCAAGATAATCATTCCAAGCTTTTTTTTTTAAACTTTTTTTTTTTATTTTAACATAAGTGGTATCATACTGTACACATTTTCTGAAACTTTTTTTGTTTTGTTTTCCACTTAATGTCTTGGAGCCCCTTCCAATGTCAGTATATAGAGAATGATTTCATCCTTTTAAATGGTTGCATAGTAGACTGTAGTTTGGTTTTGCCAGTTTGTTTGTATTTTTTCACTTTCAAACAATTCAAACATGCTTTTAAAATAACATTTTTTTTCCCTTTCCATTACATTACCACCAAAGCTCCTCATTAAAATTCACAACCTTGTCCCAGCAGTACTAAGGAAAAAACCACCACCACCTCCAGGAATTTTAAGGCAAATTGCACCCCCTAGAGGTTTGGCGTGGTAATGGTAGCTGCTGCCTGCCAAAAAGAGACGGGGAAAAACTGAAAGGAGTCAGATGAGCAGAGGAAAAGAAAAGAGGGTCAGTGACCTGGAGACGAGTCAGAGACATGACAGTCAGGGAAATTCCAGAGTCACAGTAGCTGGAAATGACCAATTATCCTTCCTCTCCAGAACTTGTGGTTATTTTATGAGAGCTTTCCCCTCGCATCCCTCTCCACCAGTCTCTTACCCTACATCAGAACTTTACTTAAGATGAGTAGAAAAGGGTAGACAGTCCTCCATCCAGGGCCCAGGCAGATTACTGGCTACTGGTAACAGTGCCACACACCAGACAGTAGCCACCTGGTGGCCAGCCCCATGAATCTGGTAGGTTCTGGAGCCTCGGAGAACTCAAGAGGCTGGCAGAGGAGTCAGAGGTATAGCCAGAGGGACTCCCCCAGCCTCTCGCCCCTTACCCTGCCAGCCCCATTCGGCCACTCCTACTCCACAACCTTTGGTGGCTCCTTTTCCTTCCTTCCTTCCACATTAATCCCAAACCCCTCTCTCTGGCATTCAAGGTCATGCCCTTAGTTTGTAATCAGAGGGAGCTCCCAGCCCCTTAGCACAGGACCTGGGATTGGTGACATAAATGTTGTTAATAAATGACTGAATAAATGTATCCTACTTTTTCAACCTGTCCTCCCTCCATCTTTACCTCTCCATCCCATCCAGATCCATACTTACTGTTCTAACTTCTATATGCATTTTCGTATACACTATTTCTTCTTCCTAGAATGCCCTGCTCTCTCCAGCTCAAGATGTCATCTGTAGGGAGCCCTGATGGCTCCATCCTTCTGCTCTGTCTCTCCCTCTCTAGCCTTTCTCTGGCATCAAGCACACACTAACTGTTCCACATGAGAGTACAGCTCCTGGAAGACAGGGGTCAGCTTCCTCCTGTTGTCCCACACTGTCTCAGGTTGTGCAGGGCCAAGTACTGTCTCCACCGAGCAGCAGGGCCTAGAGTTAGGAGCCCTGCCACAGTTCCTAGAGAAGCAAAGGATTTCCCAATGGAGGCCCAGCCTAGGCTGCCCGAAGCAGTAAGGTAGGGTGGTCCTGGGGGCAGGACACAGCTTCCTTCCCATGTTCCCCTGCAGAGAAGCAACGGGAGCTGGCCCGGAAGGGCTCCCTGAAGAATGGCAGTATGGGTAGCCCTGTCATCCAGCAACCCAAGAAGAACAATGTCATGGCCCGGACAAGGTAGAGGCCCCTCCACTCCCACCTGGACCCTACCAGTCAGCATCTGTCTCTGCTGGTCCTGAGCCTTCCCCTCTTCCCTCCTTCCTCAGGCCTAATTCCTCTCTGAGAGGAGAGAATCTCAACAGGCTCCAAGGGGGTGGGGGAAGGGAAGTGGTGGGGCAGGGCCCAACCCAGCTCCTTGCCAGGCTTGTGTGCTCCAGTTGCCAATCCAATTCCCCAAATTCTCCACCCAGGCTGGTCGTTCCCAATAAAGGCTATTCCTCGCTTGACCAGAGCCCAGACGAGAAGCCACTGGTAGCCCTTGACACTGACAGGTGTGTACGGGGATGTTGGGGCCACTGGGCAAGCCACAGGAACCTGTGTGAACATACAAGTGGACTGTACAGGCCACACCTGTTATATTGTCAGAATTGGGATATTCCTCAGACAGCCAGGAGCTCTCCAAGGGTGAAGCCTCCAGGGAATGGAATTTTTTACGTGGAGGTAGGGAAGAGCAGAGAGAGAGAGGAAAATGGGACTGACGCAGTCTGCTGCTGTCCTGGACAACTGATCCAATGGCTGCCCTGAGAATGGGCCCTGATTTGATACTCAATACCCTGCCCCCTGCAAGGGAGCAGCCCTGCTCCTGGGAAGACATCTGGCTAGACCTGGACTTTGGGAAAACCCAACAAGCCAGAGTGATTTGAGCCTATATAAAAAGCAGAGAGTTGGAGGAAAAGGAATAGCATCTCTACTCAGAAGGGTAAGGGTGGCAATTTATTTTAAAAGGTGGGGCTAGGGAATCTATCTTAAAGCTGCATTTGCACAGCAAGTACTTTTCATTTAGATCGTGCTATTTATGTGGAAGTGTGGGAGAAAGGTGGGATATTGACTGATGGGGGGGGCGGGCTGGAGTTTTCTATTTAATTTCCAGGAATCACTTCCCTCTGTCTTCTTTCCTCCATGGCCAGCGATGATGACTTTGACATGTCCAGATATTCCTCCTCTGGCTACTCCTCCGCTGAGGTGAGGCCCCACCCTTCCCACCCTAGACATACCCCTCCAAGAAGGGATGGGGCCAATGCCAAATCACACCTGAGGGGAGCTATGGGCAAAGCTGGGCAGAACCCCTGTAGGGGTAGGGCCTAAATGGGGGGTGGCCTGGAAAAAGATGACACGGTTAGACCCTGGCCTCAAGTTAGGGGATCCAGGTTTAGGTGTGGGACTTGAGCCCAGAGTTGTCACTTAAATAGAATGCAATGTAGCCCAGCCGGGCGTGGCTCAGCGGTTGAGCTTCGACCTGGGATCCAGGCGATTGTGGTTTGATTTCCAGTCAGGGCACATGCCCCTGTTGCAGGCTCGATCAATGACTCTCTCATCATTGATGTTTCTCTCTCTCTCTCCCTCTCCTTTCCTCTCTCTGAAAGCAATAAAGGTATATTTAAAAAAAACAAAAACATGCCCGGCCAGGCGTGGCTCAGTGGTTAAACATCGACCTAGGATCCAGGCGATCAGGGCTCGATTCCCAGTCAGGGCACATGCCCGGGTTGTGGGCTGCAGCAGATCAATGACTCTCTCATCATTGATGTTTCTAGCTCTCTCTCTCCCTCTCCTTTCCTCTCTCTGAAATCAATAAAGATATATTTAAATAAATAAATAAATAAATAAATAAATAAATAAATAAATAAATAAAACAAAAAACCTTTAGAATGCAATGTGAAAAACAGGCAACACTTTATGGAGGTGGCCCTGAAATAGGGGCAGGGCCCTAATAGAAGTAGGACCTGAGGTGGGAAATTGCCCTTAGAATGGGGTGGGGTCTGTCATGGGGCAAAGACTCACAAGGAAGTGCCTGTAAAGAAAATGAGGCCAGAACTGAATTAGGGGTGAAGTCAGGGGTTTCTGGAGAGACCTGGGATAGGACAGATCTGGGAGAAGGCCTGGGGATGCAGCCAGGCTGTGGGTGGTGCCTTTGGATGGCCCTGAGCCTGACCTCCCTCCCCTTTGTCTACAGCAGATCAACCAAGATTTGAACATCCAGCTGCTGAAGGATGGCTACCGGTTAGACGAGATCCCTGACGATGAGGACCTGGACCTCATTCCCCCCAAGTCCGTGAACCCCACCTGCATGTGCTGCCAGGCCACATCCTCCACTGCCTGCCACATTCAGTAGCCAGTGGGGCCTCTGCAACTGAAGGAGCTGGGCCACCATGGGCCAGGTTAGACAGCGCAGGGGCTAACCCCTCCCCAGCTCTTCTGCCTGACCCCTGGCCCTGCGTCCCCTACAGCCGCCAACCTCGTAAAAGTCATTGCTTCCTCCTATGGTAGGACGTGTACCTCTGTGTGTTCATAGAGCCGGAGAAACCAAAACCGGGTCTCCCTCCACCCCAGGGGCTGAGGAGGGGAAGGGGCTATTTGTTCGGTTACTTGAGGGAATTTGCCCAGCACCTTGTCATTCTCCCCAAAGCTGCAGTCCAGTGGGAGAGTGGGGGCCTGGACAGCAGGGAGGCCAACAGTAATGAGTGGGGGGAGGGATCACAAAGCCAGGGGCTTGGCCCCACCCCAGCGAAGCCATGAACCCCCCAGCCCAATGAGAAAAGGGGCTCTGAGGAAGAAAGGCCCAGGGCAGTGGGGGCAGGGCCCAGCACCTTGGGGCTCCCTCCAGCACTCCCTGCCTGCCCATTACCTATTTGCATTTCTCCCCCCATCTCCAGAAGGGAACCCTGACAAAGTTGCCCAGTGGGTTGTCCTCCACCTATTGGATCACTGCCTTCTTCCTCCTCTTTGCCCCATTCACCCCTTCCTTCCTTATTGTCTGAGTTGAGGGTAAGGTGGGCCTTAGAAACACGCCAGAGTTTGGGATGGTTGGGATGGTATCATCTGTCCTCATCTGCCCCTAACCAATGTATCTCTCTGCCAACCACCACACACACACACACACACACACACAGCCTCTGTTCATTGGTCTCTGGCCCAGGCTGGATGCAGGAGATAAGCCTGGCCTTGAATGCCCTATTCCCATCTCACTCCAGGCCAAGATTACAGATCCTTCTTCCCAGTAAGAACCATCAAGGAAGCAAGCTTAGGAGAATACTGTGACTGCATGTGTATGGTAGGGAGAGCATGGCAGAATGCGTGTGTCTGAGGTTGTCAGGATGTGTGTCTGTCTCTGCAGTGGGCTTGTCTTTCTAGATGTCTATTTCTGTCATAGATGGTGAGGAAGTGACTGTGTGATCTGTTAACACTGTGAGAGGCTGTTCAGCAGTGCAGTGGACTGAGAGCCCTGGACTGGGAGTCAGAAGCCTGGGTTCTAGTCCTAGCTCTGGCACTGCCCCTGTGGTTTTCAATAAGCCACTTGCATTCCCTGGGCTTCAACTGTAAAATGAGCAGCATCTGAAATTATTGTTAAGGTTCTGAAGGAATTTTTTCATAGGAATTTCTGTGGAGGTATATCTGGAGGTCTCCATGTATAGAGATACACCTAGGAGGCTTCCTGAGTTGTATGTCTGTGTGAAAAAAGGGGGAGGTTTCTATGGCACCTGTGTATGTCTGAGTGCATGCAGATCTATTTGGGAGTAAGTATGTGTGTGTGTATGAAGGTGTATGTGTGTGTGAGTATATATTGTATATGTTGGTATATATTGTGTATGTAGTTAGTTATATGGGGTGTCTGTGAGTCAGAATGTGTTTACTGCAACATCCACTGCTGTTGCTGGGGTGAGGAAGATGCCAGAAAAGCTGATGAAGAAAGTCAAAAGGGAAAAGGTGACCAAGGTCCTCCCCTGGGACTGGACAGTATAGACCTGCTCCCGTGTGAAGAAAAATGAAAGCACAGGTAGCCTAAGACTGCTCAGGTCTATGCCCCACAAACTCCATATCCCAGGGCCAGGGTGTATACCCCCCATTCTTCCATGCTGCCACCTCACAGCCTATTATTCCCTGGATTCCATTCCTGGGAAGTGGGAGCTGGAATGGGGAGAGGGTAATGAGGAGTCAGGCTGCTAGCTTAGGAAGGGTAGCAGCTCTCCCTGCACCACAACCAGGGGCTGCCAGCTCCAAAGTGCTGAGGTGCAGCTCTCCACCCTCAATTCCTCCAACCCACTCCTACCTCCTCTAGTACAGGGACCCTGGTTAGGTGATGGGAAAATGCCAAATGGAGGCAAGGACAGAGACGGTACCTGCAGGGCCCACAGGCCCATACCAGCCCCTGTCTGTGCCTGTCTCTCCCACTGTGGTCGGATTCCTACACCCTGTCATCTGGGCCCCAGAGCCAAGCCTCCTACTACCAAGCCTCCCACCACCCTGGGCTCCTTGACTCACCCTTTGAGAACACCCTTTGAGTACCTCCTCATTTCCAGGCAGGGCCCCCACCAGGGCTCATTTAGACTACTACCTTTGCTGCTGATTTGCTGTGTGACTATGGCCCACTGCTGAACCCCTTTGGCCCTGAGGAACCAGGGAATAGCTCCCTCCCCACAGGACATACCTAGTTCCCTGGCAGGAAAGGGCTTCCGACTGAGGCAGTAAATGAGTGGTGGAGAGAGGTAGGAGGCTGGCAGCCAGCACCTTCTGGGACTAGGGAGTGTATGGTTCCCTCCTCCCCTGTCTGGGAGGATGGAGGGGAGGGATTGAGGCCTTAGCTTGCCCCTGCCACCCTTCCCCCTGTAGATACTGCCTTAACACTCCCTCTACCCTCAGCTCTGGCTGCCACCCAGTCAGGTTTCTCCGCGCTCACTAATTTATTTCCAGGAAGGTGTGTGGAAGACATGAGCTGTGTATAATATTTTTTTTAACATTTCCATTGCAGTATTGACCATCATCCTTGATTGTGTATCGTGTAACACAAATAATGATATTAAAAGCATCAAACAAGCCAGCCTCAGCTCCCTACCTGGGGTGTGGGCAAGGGGCAAGTGGGCTGGGAAAGGGAGAAAATGATCCTCTGAATGCACATTTCACTCTACCTCCACTTGTGGGTTCCCCGGCCAGGCCTGCCACTGACTTGCTGCATGACCCCTTGGAACCTCCATTTCTCTTCATCAAAGTGAGAAGCTTGGCCTAGATCTTCAGAGGCGCTCTGAACTCTTAGAAATTGGGCTATTTTGAGAGGCTTGAGGGAGAAAGAGGCTGAGAGTAGGAAGAGAATTGGACTTCCTCGCTTCCCCAGGGCTGGGACTAAGCCAGGTGATATCATAATGGGCAGTGCCCAACCTGGAGAGGGAAGCAGGGTGGGGTAGGAGCAGGAAGGCTGTGGGAGAGGGAAGTTGAAAGATCCTCCATAGAATAGGATCACAGCAGCTAAGGCACCTGCCGGGGTGGAGGTGTGGGCGATCTGGGGGAGGGGGTGATCACTGATGGTTTGCAGGAGCCCTTGGTAGGTAGAGCCCACCACGGCTTTCCCTAGACCCCACTATGTTCCTCTTCTCCCGAAAGACCAAGACCCCCATCAGCACCTACAGTGACTCCTACAGGGCTCCTAACTCCATCAAGAAGGTCTATAGGGACCCACCTCTGAGGGCCTGGGAAGTCAACAAATTTGTGACCCCGGTAAGTAGAGGTTGGGGGTGGGGGTGGGGGCAGAGTCAGGCCAGTGTGTATGGCCATGCATGTCTGGATGACGGGCAGCGTGTGGTTGTCATTAGGTTTGTAATTATTTTGTAGCTTTGCATGTGTGTTTTATTCTTTTGCCTAGGTGTGAAATTTACAATGATATATAAAATAGTACCAGATCCTGCCTTCATGGTACCCTACTGTACCAGAGTAGGAAATATAAAGAGTTAGATAATAATTAAGAATTAAAGAAGACTTTTCTAAATTATCCAAAATGCTATAAAGGAAATAAACAGGGTAATGGAAATGGAAAGTAACCAGAGAGAGCTACTTAAATAGAGAGGTCGTAGAGGACCTAGACAAAGGACCTAGATGAGAGCCACGTGAAGAGCTAAAAGAACAGGATTCCAGGCAGACTGATCAGAAAGCACACAGGTCCCGAGGCTGCCTATGGGATATGCCAGAAAAGGTCCAATAGGCATGTTTTATGCATGTGTATCACAGCCTCCCTGTATCTGTGTAGCTTGCACAAAATGGAGAGATCTGTGAGTCTAATTGTAACTGCCTAAGGGAATTTATTTGTGCACACCATCCAACAAACTTTGTTGGGGATCTACATGTGGATATAACAATATGGATATAACAATGAAGGGCCAGGCCCTGCCTTTCAGGAGCTCTCAACAAACAAGTGAACAAAGTAGGGTTGTCCTGTGTGGAAATGCACCAGCAAAGGCATGGGCACTGGTACAAGAGCTGGAAAGGGGAGAGCATTCCTGGGACTTTAGGGCAGGTCTACTAAACGATCCAGGGGGAAGAGGCTTCCAGCAGAAGACAGTCCTAAGAAAGGGCAGTCTGGGGGCAGGGACCCACCAGGAACTGAGAACTGCTGAAGCAGAGGGAAGAGCTAGCCCCAATGGTAAGAGAAGAGCCTGCAGGCCACAAAGGGCCTCAGGCTGTGTTGAGAAACAAGGATGTAATGCTCCAGGTTTTCTAATCTATGAGTGTCATGGTTAGATTGTGAGTTATGCCACGCTGGCTACAGTGGCAGGAGAATGGAGAGGCTGGAGCTGAGGGAAAGAAGCCAAGAAAGATGGTAGAGGAGGAGGGAGGAGAGTGTATGTGGGAGATGAGGAAAGACTGTGGCAGCAAAAAAGGGAATTTGTTGGATAAAAAAGAATTTTTTTTATAGGTATATTTTCAATTATAGTTCACATATCCTCCATCTTGACTGAAAGTCCTAATTATAGGCAGGAATTAAAAATAATTTTTATTGCCCTGGCCAGTTTTGCTCAATGGTTAGAGTGTCAGCCTGTGGACTGAAGGGTCCTGGGTTCGATTCCGGCCAAGGGTATGTACCTCTGTTGCAGAGTTGATCCCATGTACGGGAGGCAACCAATCAATGTGTCTAATCTCACATCGATGTCTCTGTCTCTCTGAAAAGCAATGGAGAAAATATCCTCAGATGAGGATTAAAAATAATAATAATTTTTATAATTATAAAGTAAATATATTCTCAATGCAGAAAATGGGGATAACTCAAAGAGGCACAAAGAAAAAAAAGCCTATAATCTTACTACCCAAAATAATCACTGTTAATTTATTATTATATGCCCTTTTAGGAAGCAAATATTTTTATGAAAATGGTATCATATTGTATACTAATATTTTGAATATTTTTTTAAAAAATATATCTTTATTGATTTCAGAGAGAGGAAAGGAGAGGGAGAGAGAGAGATGGAAACATCAATGAGGGGAGAGTCATTGATCAAGCCTACAACCGGGCATGTGCCCTGACCGGGAATCGAACCCTGATCGCCTGGATCCTAGGCCGATGCTTAACCACTGAGCCATGCCCAGCCAGGCTGAATATTGTTTTTTTTATATAACCATATATCAGGCCATTTTCCTTGTCAAACATATTTTATAATTTTAATGACTATGGTATTTTATGAATGTACCAAAATATATTTAAGAAATCATATATTATTGGAAGTTTAGATTATTTATAAAATTTTACTAATATTATCATTCTTGTATATATCTATCTTTGTATATATCAACTGTTCCCTAAGGACAAATTCCTAGACATAAAATTGTTAGGAGAAAGGACATGCATATTTAAAATTTTGATATATACTTCAAATTGCTATAATAAGGTTTGTAATAATTTAAATGCCCACCAGCAAAATATGAGAGTGCCTGCCTGCTTTTCCACACTCAATAGAAGGAAATTTTAAGAACTAGATCAACATATCTTGTTATCATCAGGATATAAAGAAGAGAGGAGAGATTAGGATGATTCCTGGATTTTGGGCTCTGGCAATTGGAGGAATGGTAGTGCTACAAACTGAGATTTGGAGTTCATTTTGGGACAAATATTCAAGGAATTTCAGGAAAAAATGTCTGGTGGATTGTTGGATATACTTAGCTCTGAAGCAAAGGAAAGAGGTTTGGGCTACAGATAGAGATTTTTTTAAAAAAATATATCTTTATTGATTTCAGAGAGAGGAAGGGAGAGGAGAGAGAGAATTGAAACATCAATGATGAGAGAGTCGTCACTGATTGGCTGCCTCCTGCATGCCCCTGACTGGGAATTGAGCCCGCAACCTGGGCATGTGCCCTGACAGGAAACTGAACCACGATCTCCTGGATCCTAGGTCGATGCTCAACTGCTGAGCCACTCCTGGCCGGGCCAGATATAGATTTTTAAATCACCAATATATAGGTGGTAGCTGAAGTCATGGAAGTGAATAGGATTGCCAAGGAAGAGTAAGAAAACGGCCAACACAGAACTGTGGAGAATATTCATATTTAAGGGGTAGGTAAAGGAAGAAGAGCTGTAAAAAGAGACAAGAGTGATAGGAAGAAAGTCAAAGATAAACCAACCAAGATAGCATTGTTAGACAAAGGACAATATTAAATGTTGTCCACACAGGAAGGAATCTCTTGGATGTAGTAAACCTGAGCAACCTGGCAGACAGCTTCTGTGAGTAGCAGTGGGATTAAGAATGAAAGAAAGGATTTGCTTCTGGCAGTATGGTGGTCTAGAAAATTCTGAAAGATGCTCCTACTACAAAACAGCTAGATCCTGCATAAAAATTAACTTTTGTTTTGGACTCTCATGGAGGTGAGTGGTAAATATACAGAGAAGGTAGGACTGTCCTAAAGACAAATGCCAATGTCAGCACTACAAGCAGGAGTTTAAGCCTTAAGCTAGCTAAAAGATGGAGGAGCTAAAACTGTAAATTCCAAACTGAACAAGAAAGTTCAGTGATCTCTGGCTCCCTGCCCCCTAACATACACACACACACACACACACACACACACGCACACACACACACGATGAATGTATGTATCTTCTATGGTGAAAAATATTCTCAATGTACGTTTTCAGGTATCCTTTAAAATCAGGCCAATCAAATCTGAGCTTACAAGAAGAGATATAAGGAAACAAATCACCAGGTGACAGTCAGCAGAAACAACAGACTTAAACCTCAAGGGACTTCAGATATTGAAATTAACAGTTAAAGAATACAAAATGTTATGAATTTTTAAAATAAAATGTGAAATTATCAATATGAGCAAACAACAAGAAATATTTTTAAAAATACCAGACAAATATAAAAAATACCCGAATAGGAATTTTAGAAATGAAAACCATATTTGTTAAAACCAAATATTTATATGGGGATAGTGGATGGGTTAAATCCACTGTCAATGATTTGAAAGACAGAATGAAAGAAATTTTCCAGAATGCACCAAAGAGAGACAAAGAAATAGAAAATATGAAGGAAACATTAAGCAATATGAAAGACAAAAGGAGAAGATCCACACAAATCTACTTGGAGTCCTAAAAAGAAAGAGCAGAAAAAATAGGCATTATCTGAAGAGGAAAAAGCTCTGAATTTTCCAGAACTGATGAAAGAAATAAATCCACAGCTACAGAATAAATAGAAGGAATTCCACACTTAGTTACCTCACAGTGAAACTACACAACACCAGCTTAAAAGATGGCCTTAAAAAGAGAGATAAATTGTTTTCCAAGTAAGTGTCTGCCTTTCAAGAACAAAATTAAGAAGAAAGATAAAGACTTTTACAGACAAAAACTAAAATGTATACTATCATCAAACCTATAGTAAAGAAATTGCCAAAGGGTATTCTTTGGGGAGAAGGAAAATTATTACAAAAAAGAAGGTCTGAGATGCAAGAAGGAACGGTAAGCTAAGAAACTGGCAAACCTGCCCGGCCAGGCATGGCTCAGCAGTTGAGCATCAACCTAGGATCCAGGCGATTGGGGTTCGATTCCCGGTCAGGGCACATGCCCGGGTTTTGCGGGCTCAATCAATGACTCATCATTGATGTTTCTATCTCTCTCTCTCCCTCTCCTTTCCTTTCTCTGAAATCAATAAAGATATATTTTTTAAAAAAAAGAAAGAAAGAAACTGGCAAACCTGAGATAAATTTAAACAAACATTGTCTACAGAAAATAATTATAATGACTTTTATTTTTCAAAATTTATAAAAAGGTGCCTGGACGGTATGGCTTCGCAGATGAGCATCAACCTATAATCCAGAAGGTCACGGTTTGATTTCCCAGTCAGGGAACATGCCCAGATTTCGGGCTCCATCCCCAGCAGGGGGCGTGCAGGAGGCAGCCGATCAATGACTCTTATCATTGATGTTTCTATCTCCCTCTCCCTCCCTCTCTCTCAAGAAAAACGTTTTTTATTTATTTTATTTTATTTTTTTTTAATATATCTTTATTGATTTCAGAGAGAGGAAAAGAGAGGGAGAGAGAGAGATAGAAACATCAATGGTGAGAGAGTCATTGATCAAGCCCGCAACCGGGCATGTGCCCTGACCGGGAATCAAACCATGATCGCCTGGATCCTAGGTCAATGCTCAACCGCTGAGCCACACCTGGCCAGGCAAGAAAAACATTTTTTTTTTTAAATTATAGCCCTAGCAGTTTTGCTCAGTGATTAGAGCGTCAACCCCACGGACTGAAGTGTCCCAGGTTCGATTCTGGCCAAGGGCAGGTACCTCAGTCACAGGTTTGATCCCCAGTCCTGGTGGTTGGGATACATGCAGGAGGCAACCAACCGATGTGTCTCTCTCACATTGATGTTTCTCTCTGTCCCTTCCACTCTCTGAAAAGCAATGGAAAAAATATCCTCGGGTGAGGTTGAAAAAGAAAAGACTGTTTCAAGGGAAAAGTATCCATTTTCCACAGCGCACACACACACACACAAAAGTTATAAAAGAACCAAAATATTGGAAAACAATATCAGCTAAGTTGTATATTGGAAAATAATATCATGCAAGATGCAAGGATAGGAAAGGAATAAAAAACTGTCATTCACAGATGATATAGTTGTGTATATAGAATCTATAATTTATCAGAATAAGAATTTAGAAAGTTGAATAAGTATAAGATAAAGTCAATCACATCTTTACATCAACAAATAATTAGAAAGCATAATTTAAAATACATATCATTCTAGCAACAAAAATTAAAAGTAAGTAGGAATAAATCTAGAATGTGTGCAAACTGTATGAACGATATTATAAAACTTTGAATACTTAAAAAAATACTTAAGTGGAGAGGTATCACATGCTTGTGGATAGGAAGAGTCACTAAAATAAGGATGCAATGCAATTCTAATTAAAATCCCAAGGTTTTTTGAAGGATTTGACAAGCCATTTCTAAAATTTATAGAGAAGGTCAGAGACTCAAGAAATAGCTAAAACATACTTGAAGAAGAAGGGGACTTGTCCAGTCAGATATTAATACTTATTACCAAGCTATATAAAGGCATAAAGCATAGTATTACTGTATGAATAGGCAAATTTATTAATGAAATAAAATAGATCAGAAATGGAGCCACACATAAATGGAAACAATATACAACAGAGGTGATTGAAAGTAAAGCTATGGGAAAAGATACATCAGGCTTGGTGTGGCATTACAAATATGTGGGAGAAGATACTCAATGAGACAATTGATTATCCAGATAGATAAAAATAAAATTGATCCCTAACTCACGCCAAACCCCAAAAGCAATACCTGACAGATTAAAAGCTTAAGGAAAATAAACTGTATAGCTTTTAGAAGAAAATATAAGACATTATCTCCATTATCTTAGAGTGTGGATGAATTTCTTAAATCACAAAAGCACTACCTAAGAGATTAATAAATTCAACCATGTTAATATTAAGAACTCTGCTCATCAAAAGATACCACAGAGATGCCCTGGCCAGTCTGGTTCAGTGGTTAGAGCGTCAGTCCGTGGACTGAAGGGTCGTAGGTTTGATTCCAACCAAGGGCACGCACCTTGGTTGCAGTTTCGGTCCCTGCCCTGGTCGAGGCACGTGCAGGAGGCAACCAATCGATGTCTCTTTCACATCGATGTTTCTCTCTCTCTCTCCCACTCTCTCAATGGAAAAAAATATCCTCATGTGAGGATTAAAAAATATATATAGACCACAGAGAAAATGAAGATACAAACCACAAACTGAAAGAAGATATTTACAACATGTGACTGACAAAGAATTAGTACATAGAATATATAGAGAACTATAGTGCTCTGGGTTAAAATTAAACACATGTGTTTTAACTCCCTCCTGAAACCCTCAAAAACTACAGTAAATGGATATTTAAGATATAAACACAAGAATAGTGAGAAAGAAGAGGCATGGCAACAAAATTTGAGAAGCTGGAAAGTATAATAGATAATTAGTAACTGATTTAGCAGATCTGCGAAAGCTGAATCCAAAGCCAGCAATGGGAAACACAAGACATAATTCAACGTAAAAGCACAGAATTTTCATAAGCCTCAGGAATTAATAATATTAGGCTTCTTAAAAGTGGAACAAGACCAAGGCTAAAATAAGGATGATTTGAAAGCAGTTAAGAAGCAGTTAAGCCCTGGCCAGTTTGGCTCTGTGGTTAGAGTGTCAGCCCTCGGACCAAAGGGTCGTGGGTTTGATTCCCAGTAAAAGACATGTACTTCAGTTGCAGGCTCCATCCCCAGTCAGGGAGGCAACCAATCGATGTGTCTCTTTCACATAGATGTTTCTCTCTCTTTCCCTCTCCCCCCACCTTCCTCCCCTCCCCTCTCTCTAGAAACAATCAATGGAAAACAATATTCTAGGGTGAGGATTAAGAGAGAAAGAAAAAGAAGCAGTTAAGCCCTGGCCAGTGTGACTCGGTTGGTTGGGCATCATCCTGTGCACCGAAGGGTTGCTAGGTCAATTCCCAGTGAGGGCACATGCCTGGGTTTCAGGCTCAATCCCCGATGTAGGGCATGCAGGAAGCAGCTACTGTTTCTCTCTCCCTCTCCTGTCCTCTCTCTAAATACCAATTTTTAAAAATTTTTGAAAAGAAGCAGTTAAACCCACTAATCTCCTCTTCTGTTCCACGTCATAGGGTGACTATTCACTCCATCTCTACAAAAGTTAGAAGGCTTATTTTTTGGCGAGGATCTCAGGACTGGGAATGCCAGGCCCAGTTGAGGGCAAGGTACCATACTGAAAACAGGAGGGTCTCTCTCTATATACTAAATGTTAAAATCGCAGCAGCCCTTTTGTCCACTAGCTAGGTCACTACCCTCAGGCCAAAGATTGAAAGAATCTCTTCTGAAGGATCTGATCAGCCCAAGAAGAAATACCTACAGATACTGACAGAGTTTGCAAAAAATAGTCTAGCCAGATCATCCTACAGTGATGCTCATGATTGACAAAGCCCATCAGCAACTCAGTGCCTCCAATAAGCATTTCAGTCTCCTACTCATAAACATGAGCAGGCAACCAAAGATTATGGATATCTGAGGAAAGCCTTGAATGGAAAAATTGATCTCTGTGAGTTCTTCTAAAGACTGTCTTTGTATTTCTCTGTGTGTATGTCTGAGTGTGTATGTATAGATGTACATCTGAAAGTGTGTCTATCAGTGTACCTGGGTACATAGATCTATATGTATGTGTGGACCTGCGAGTGTGTGTAAAGTTCGGGGAGGTGACAAGTTATGGGGCCCTTCTACCCATATGGAATTTGATTGTGCAGGATCTGCCCACAGAACAAAACCTCAGCTGGGCACAGAGGATCCAAGAAGCCCCTTAGCTGAGAGGTTTTCAGGGTGGTAGGAGCACAAGGAGCAGCAAGGTCTCATCCCTGGGCAAGAAAATTCTCTCCCCTTTAGATCATAAGGGAGAAATGTGGGTGGCAGTGTCATCCCAGCATCTTACTTCCCAGAGGAAGTTCTTTCCGCTGTCTGACTTTGTTGGGTGACCCAATTGCCTTTTCATACCAGTTGCCTACAGAGACCTATAGGCTCACAACTAACTTGGCTTTTTCCCCTCGGCTGAGGACAAGGGGGGCCCAAAGGGAAGCCTAGATTTGGGATTCTACAGATCTAGCCCAACAAGGGGTGATGGGATAAGATGAGGTGAACTCCAAGAAGCAGGGGGCCCAGGACCTCAACCAAGATCAGGTTAGGATGAAGACCAGGGCAAAGTGAGTGTCAGGGTCAAGGGTAATATGGCATCAAAATCATTACCACAGCAGAGTCAGGGGCAGGTCAGAGACAGGGAATTATATTTTAAAGTAGGGGTCCCTCCAGTCCCATTCTTCTTCAAGGTGTCAGATTCTAAGAGAGCCCTCCCTGACCCAAACACCTGAATAAGGTAGCCAGCTCCCAGGGCAGCCAGCCTTTGCTGAGGCTCCAGGTTATACCAGGGGCCTGTTGCTCTGATGGGAGTAATCCAGGCTCTGCTCCCAGGCTGTGTACAGCCTGGAACAAAAGATGACAGGACCTTCCAACTCTGTCCTTAAAGAGCTCCCTGTCAATAAAAGGACAGAAATGAGAACACCAGAAAACCACTCTGACTGAAGGCAAATGCCTGGCTCTAAGCCCTAGCCTGGAATGGAAAGTAATTCAAATAATAGAACTATGCAGCCCTAGCCAGTTTTACTCAGTGGTTAGAGCATTGGCCCACAGCCTGAAGGGTCCCAGGTTTGATTCCCATCATGGGCACATACCATAGCTGTAGGCTCCATCCCTGGCCCTGGTTGGTTGAGGTGGGTGCGAGAGGCAACCAATCAGTGTTTCTCTCTCACATAGATGTCTGTCTCTCTCTCTCTCTCTCCTTTCCACTCTCTCTGAAAAGCAGCTCTTAAAAAAAAAAAATGAGAGAATTATGCAAGGCTGGCATGGGAATCCTTCGGGCATAGGGAGGTGGTTGGGAGACCCACCTGGGCTTACCTTCCAAATAGTGTCTAGATCTAAGTCCAACAGGACTCCGAGGCTGGAGTCTCTGTGCACTTAGCCACTTCCTCCCCTCTCCCCTTGCACAGGGCCTGCGCCATGTAGATCCTGAAGCCCTGCAGAGGATGGTCAAGTGTGCTGTGCAGGACTACAGCTATAGGAGTCCCATACCAGGCCATCCCTACTTGCCTGAGAAATACTGGCTCTCTCGAGAGGAAGGTAGGGCCTCACCCCTCGCCCAACTCTGACCCTATTCAGTGACCCCAACAATGACCCTTCATCTGAATCCAACTTGGATCCTGACCTCCACCCCCATCATATATCAGTCTTATTCCTTACCCATGACCGGGCTTCTTCTCTAACTACCCCCACTCCAGCTTGACTCCCAAACCACTTGACCTGACACTTACCCCGGCGGAGATTCAGGCCCTGCCTTTTGGGAGCCCCTTGTCTGTACCAAAGAACTGAAAGAGGCCTCCGTCTTGTCCCTAGAGAGATAGAGGGAGTATTAACCTCCTCCAAACAAATCCAGGTGCCATCTTCTCCCATCTTCTTGGTGACCCTGTTCCATCAAGTTCCCCATATATCCTGCATCCCTCTGCTTCGCCACACCTCTCTCCCCTCCACTTGGAAATATTTTCTAATCTCTTCCTGCCTAAAAATTCTCTCTTCCTCCTCCCCTTCATAACCAAGATTTTCGGAAACAGTCTATACTCTCTGTCTCTATCTACTTCCTCCCTCCTTCTTACACCTTATAAGAAATTATCTTTCTCATTTAATTTGGTGTTGATGATCTATCACACCGTACATTCCAAAAGAGCAGAGAGTCTTGTCTTAATCACAGCTGTGCCCCCTCCACCTAGAACAGCATCAGGCTCCATAAGTACTTTTTGAAGGGATTGTTGACAGATCTTCATCCAGGTGAAAGTGGGGGTCTGCATCTTCTACACTCAAGACATTAAAACTGCTCTTGTGTGGTTCTAACTACCATATCCATGATGCTCTTTAGCCTTTGCCTTATGAGACCTGTCCTATGCATTTCTCTCTCTGACTACTCTCTGCTTCTTGAAACTCCTTCCTTCCCCAGCTTCTCTGATGCCTCAATTTCCTGGGTGTCTTGTCTACTGACTCTGGAAACATGGGGTTCCTCAGAGTGCTAATCTGAGGCCTCTTCTCTCCTTACTCCCGAGATCATTTCATCTAATCCATGTCTTTAATTACTGACAACTCCAAGTCTTTATTTCTATCCTTGACATCTCATCAGAATTCCACTCTCCATATGACTATGGTCATCTTTACCTGAATGTCCCAAACACCCCTAATTCATTATGTCCTACCCACCAACCCAGAACTCCCGATCCTAATACCGTGCCCCCATACACACACCTGCTCTTCCAGGGCTCCTAGACCTCCTTTCCTAATGTGTCTCACATGTGTTCTTTCAGAGTGTTAGGAGAGTGGCTCACAGTGGATAGATTTGGTGTTTGGGTGGATGGGGTTTTGGAAAGTTTTAAGGAGGGAAGTATCTTGATCACATTTACACCTGTGAAAAAGTGCTTGAGCTTTTATGTAGAGATTGGATTGTAGGATTTCAAAGATGAGGTAGGGAGACCAGTAGGCTAATAAAATAATAGTTTTCTAAGTTCTAAGTGTTTTACATATATTAATTCATTTCAATCTCACAAGAACCCCATGAAGTAGATTATCACCCCATTTTAAAACTGAGGAAACAGATTCAGTGACATTAACTCAGTCAAAGTCACACTCAGCTAATATCTGGCAGAGCTGAAATCTGAAGCCAAGCAGTCTGTCTGCAGAGTCCATTCTATTGATCACAACATTATATTGCCTCCAGGTTAAGGCACTGCAGAGATACAGGGGAGACCATGGGAGACTGGAAGAGGGGATAGATTCAAGTGACTTTAAGGAGGCAGAATAAGCCAACTTTGAAGACTAGGTGTGGAAGATGAGAGGGAGGAATTGGGAGGAGGCCCAGTTTCCAGGTTAGCTCATTCGGGGAGGGTGGTGCCAGGATAAAATATGATCAGCCCAAAAGACCCAGACCCAAGCAGAAGTAAGCCTGAGGTGGAAAATGGGCTCATCTCAGTGTCTAAGACAAGTAGGGGGCCAGGCTGGGCTTTGATTGTCCTGAGGGAAACCGGTGAGAGTCCAGTTTTGTGCTGGGGATCAGAGGAGAGACATTTAGGAAGTCTCAGATACTGGGATGGAATGAGTAACACTGTCTTATGTCTCCACCCCTTATAATCAAGCCGACAAATGCAACCCAGACTACTTGTGCAGTGACCCGTGTAACACATGGAGAATTGAACCTTACTACTGTACTGGCTGGAACAAGTATTCCACATACCTTCCCCGCCTGCCTAAGGTATCTACTGTGCTCAGCACAGATGGGGTCTGGAGAACACACGTACACCTCCACCTCCCAAACCACAGGGACTGATATTTCACCATTAATTACTCATCCCTTTCCCATCAATAATGCTCCAGGGCTCTTCCCATCTGTGAAACTAGGGTTTGTATGTTCCAGGACACAAGGTAACCCAGGAGTGGAGCTGTGCTAGGTCACTGGGTCCCAATCTCTGGGGACTGGGTTCATTGGGTCCCCACCTCTGGCTGGATTCTATGGGGACATGGCTAGTGTGCACTCCTTGACAATCTACATTCCTGAATCTTGCCACTTGGCTCCTTCCCACATGTCTGGCCAAGGAGTCAGTGTTAATTAAGCTAAGCTACGTACTTCACTCTCCCTTCCTTTGTGATATGAGCAAGGACAAAGGGAGGGAAAATAAGGCCACTCAGGGGCAATGCAGATAAATAAAGGAGAGTGTTCCAAGGAGAGGAGTCCAGGGCAGCCCCAGGTGGGAGGGAATGTGAGAGGCTCTGAGGCCACAGCGGGGTTTCTCAACTGTAGGCTGAGGCTGACCTTAGGTTGACGAAACCCCTTTGAATCAGAACTTCCTCAAGAATCAGAACTTTTCACAAATTCACAGGGGATTGTGATGGGCCAGCAATACTGAAAACACCTTGTTAGAGAGACGCTCTAACAAGGCAAACCCTTGTTCAAGGTAAACGCTGAGGCAAGGTGGTTAGAAGCTCGGGTGCTGACCCGGTCCAACTAGTTTCATTCCTTCCCCGCACCCCTCCTCACGTAGGCGGAGTAAACGCGTTGCTGGGCGACAGCCCCAAACAGAGCCGGGCAGGGAGGGGGGCCTCTGGAGGGCGGGGTAAGGCTCAGCCCGGGGCTAGTCCGGGTGTGCTGGGAGGAAGAACCCCCAAAAGGGGGCCGCTCCAGGTCAGAGCTTGAGGAAGCGTGCCTCCCATTTCCAGGAAGCCGGGATGGAGACAGCAGTTCGAGGAATGCCCTTGGAGTACCCTCCTAAGCCGGAGCGACTCAATGCCTATGGTGAGGGACGGTGGGGCGGTGGAAGGGAGCGGGTAGCGGGGGGCCAGGAAGGGAGAGGTGGGGACCTGTGGGACCAGGCGGGGGCCGAGGGCCCTGGAGAGGGTGTAGCCCTGTCTCTATCTGTCCCTGTTTTTGTCTCCATCTCTCCCCGTCTCTGACCCTGTCTCTTCCCATTCTTGCGACTGTCTGTCTGGGTCTTCCGGGCTGGGACACGCGGACCCAGAGCGCGAAGTCGTGGTGAACATGCTGAACTCGCTGTCACGGAACCAGACGCTGCCGCAGATCACGCCCCGATGCGGGTGCGTGGACCCGCTGCCGGGCCGCCTGCCCTTCCAGGGTTATGAAAGCCCTTGCTCCGGCCGCCACTACTGCCTGCGCGGGATGGACTACTGCGCCTCCGGGGCGCCCTGCGCCGAACGCCGCCCGCGGCCTCTGTGCTCGGTGGAGCCGACTGTAAGGTTCGCAGGGCCCCGCCCCCT